CTCATAAAACGTTTCAGAAAGTTCCGCTACCTCTTTCTGGTTTTAAGCATATTTCTTTCTAGTTGCTATTTTCCTTAGAACTTCCTTGTAGTTCACATGATCTGACCATGATATTCTCTGCATATGTCTGTAGAGACACATCTCTTGTTTTAAGCTTGTTCTTCATCTTCCGGTACTCGCTGCAAGGTAGATATGACATAGCAGTTCACTTTTTTCTTTATTTCAAGAAAAACATTTCCAAAACAAAAACTAGGATCTGGAATTTGAATGAAAGTAGACAACTACCATCTATCATAAAAATTGAGGATTTAGAATTAGTAAATACTAAACACTTCAAATACATCAGTGTATAGATTAGTTCTAAATTTAGCATCGGAGATAAGAAAATTAAATATATAATAGGCTGCGCTAGGGTTAGTTTCTCCCAACACCGCAAGATGCTAAAAAAACAAAACATTTACATGAAAAATAAAGCCGTGTTCTTAAATAGCTTCATCAGATCGAGACTTTGATATGAATGCCATGCATAGCGCCAAATCTGTTCAGAAACAAACAGTCGAGCTGTATTCACATTATTTACATTGCTCGGAATGTTGTCCTCGTCTTTATTGTCATGTTCACGATGTTCTTCCTTTCTCAGGTGATTGGAATTTTGAACTGAACCCTTTATTTCGTCCACCGGAGTAGACTGTTCTAGTTCCACGTGCCATAATTCTTCCGGATGTTTCAGTTTACTCAACTCTAACTCAACTCTCCAAGTTTCTGTTATTAGTCAGATATTGGGTCATTTCACTGCATCCAGCCAATGATTTTATCCACTGAGCCATGTGCCCTGGAGGACATCAGTGTATGAATTTTGGCTAACTTATAAACTTAATGTCTCAGTAAATATTTTTTTTTACCAGAACTCATATTGCAATTTTGTTGTTTTGTTTTTTTCTAACACTGCGTATTACTGGCTCCTATATTGTATTCATTTCTATGCTAGACCGGCTTAGAAGATTTTTGTGGCCTGATTCCTGATTGTGTACTGATTCCTTAAGTTTTCGGATTTTCCAGTGATGTTGGTAAGATCCAGTGACTTGAACAAAAGAGTTGTGAGTTCAATGGTGAACAAAAACTTGGAGTTAAAGGGAGATAACTGAGACGTTCGAAAGATGCATGGTACACGCAACGAAATAAAGGGTTGATTTCAAAATTCCAATCACTTGAACAAGCGTGAACATGGCAATAAAGATGAAGACAACAGACCGAACAATGTAAATAATGTAAATAATTACAATACTTCATCTCATAGATATATACAGATGTCTGCTGTATATAACTAGTTTCTCGGATCATTGGTTAAAAATGACTTTGAGTAAATGAAGCCTGTAGGACTTGGCGACGATCATGCAGCTTTGGATGATCGCTGCGAAAACTCTTCACGTGTAAGTGCTTTTAACAGTATGTAAGAGAAAATAATGACATAATCAAGATGTTAACATTCCACATTACTTCAAACAAAAAGTTTGGAAGGAAGAGCACATCGATACTGGAAACAACTACTGGACTTAAGAAACATATTTTCCTGAAAAATTGGTTTAAGAGAACGAATTTATAAATATCAATCAAAGAATGCCAAATATTTACTTGTCAGAAACGGGTAATATTGCAATTACCATTATCTGTCGGATCGGTAAAATTCTCTGTCGTCTGTCAGTATAGATAGATAGTTAAATTTATGCACCTAATTTATTCTTATATCCCCAATTTGAGGCTTACATCTTTGGATACCTCTTTTACTGACAACTATATATTCGGTGTTCTTATATTATGATTAGTCTTTTCTTTCACTTTCCTTCGCTCCATTTTCTAGGATTCCGCTATTAGCAAAGTATTATCTGCGTATCTTATATTGTTAAGACTATAACCACCAATAATATCTTCTAACGGATCATCTAGTTCTCTGAGCTTCGTCTTGTTGTATAGCTTAAAATACACTGTGCAAAAGTATCGTTGCCTCACTCCTCTTTCTATTTTGTGTACTTGCATAACTCGATTCCTATTCTTATGCAGGTAGTTTGTTTCCAGTAGAATTTGTGGACTATTCTAAGCTCTTTTCCATATAATTAGAGCTCACCTAGCAGCTCAAATAAGGTTTTTGTGTTCCATTTTATTAACTCCTTTTGTGTATTCTACGAAACACATGCACAGTTTTTGTTTTGTTTTTGTTTTTTTGTTTTTTTTAGTTTTTATTTCACTATTTGATATCATTCTTATCAGGAAGATAGAATTTTTTGTTTCAGTAACTTGAAGAAAGCCAGAAGGTTTATTTCTTCATCAAGTTTTGTTGATGGGCATGCGTGGTACTTTACGATGTGTCTCACCTCAGATGATACCAAAAAGACTTTGCATTCAGTGAAAGACACCCTCCTACACGCCAGGCGCAAATCTGAGCCTTCACTAGAGATCAGTGGCTATTCGCAACATGTACACACGTAGTAGGTCAACATGGAACACGCCGAACGTCAGGTAAATAAGCACCCACCTAAGAGGCAGGAAGAAAATAGTCTCTTACATGCTCGGGAGAATAAAGAATCCATGTTTGGAAAGAACCACAAAACCAAACAGCCTCTCGACGATAGTAATTGAAGAAATAATGATTTTATGTATGAGAAATCAATCTTGTGTTCATATTATTCTGCATATGATAAGGTTACAGAATTCTGCTAAACTTATTTTGAAAAAAAACAGCAGTTGAAATAAAAGTAGTTCCCTAAAATCAATATACCAGCCTAGTTAATAAGCAGGATTTAACCGCTAATTTTCAAGAAAAATCAGAAATATGACAATATAAATTCGGATAACATTTGTCGGTTGGTTTAGTCGAAATCTATCTATCTATCTATCTATCTATCTATCTATCTATCTATCTATCTCATGCTGTCTGTCTGTATGTCTGTCGTGGGCGTTGTTACCTCGGCCAGGCCGCATTTCCCACCCGATTTCGATGCAGTTTTCACCACAAGTTTGCAAATGGCTGCCGTAAGGACATGACGGAGCCCGGTTTTTGAGTTCGGACTCAGGTTCCGAAAAAATCGATAATCGAAAAAATCGATAATCGAAAAAATCTGCTTACAGAAGGAATGATCACATTTCAACCAAATTTGAAGCCCTCTTAGAGTCTACCATTAGAAGTGTTGTCCAGAAGTTTCATGACCACGGACCCCTAAACAGCGCGGAAAATCGATAAAACCCAAAAACCGATACGCCCAGATTGCGCCTGAACCACATGTCGGTTTTTAGCGAAAACCGACCGGATTTATAAGGCGGCCATTGGGAGTCACCATGTGAAGTTTCATCTCTGAGCTCCCCACCCCCAAACAGAGTGCAAATCGACAATCGGTCAACCCATAAAAATGTTTTTTTCCGGTTGGGCATTTCCTAAATGCAGATTAATTTAAGGTCACGCTATGCGCGGGAGGAATCAGGTGAGTGCGTGCAGTGGAGTGGAAGAAAACATTTGACCTCAAATTCTGGAATGGGTGCAGGACCATTAAAATTCGGCTTTTTTATCCCTGCTACCAGGTCTTTGAGCCACAAATGACAGATTCGAATTTGTCAACACTTTTGCTTTAATCGTCGCATCTTACCAAAATAAGCACTTCCTTTATTCGCGTCTTTACTGAAAAAAACCGCATACGTGCTGAGTGAAAATGGTTCCGCCCTCAGCAATCCATTTTCCAATTCTTTAAACATTTTCCCCTAGCCCAGGCCGCATCCCAGACCTGAAGAGGAGTTTTTGCGCTAAAACATCAGGGCTTCCTCCCAATCCATTTCAAAGCTAATGCCGGCAAACGGTTAGCGGCTTTTCGGTGTCGCACAAACCGAATGAGCAAACGCTTCATTGCAGCTCCTTGCATTCTCATCGCCGGCATCACGTGCGTTAGAGCCACGCTGCATATGCAGCAGGCATCTTGACTCCGTTTACGGCCAAGCCTTGCGCTTGCCAAATCATGCGCGTGTGCATTTTGTGTGAGCTCATTCATTGGTCTAAGACATGGCCATTGTCCAGGCTAAACCAATCAATGACAAGTCACGCTCCCTTTAAATACCTTCAGCGAGGCTGCATCTGCACTCACGTCTTGATTTGGTCGCCATTAACGCATCTGTCCTTGGATTAATTAAGAGCTTCCTGCTACCGCATGTTACCTATTTGCTTAAACGTTTGCATTACCCATTTTATCTCCGCGTGCTGCCTCTACTGCGCAGCCCAATCCATCTTAGCGTTCCATATCTATTTCTACCTTTTCGTAGTTCAGTTTTGCTATTAGACAGTTAACTGCTGTCGCAAGTTACTTATTTACTCAATCGTTTGCCCAACCTATTTTACCTCCACGTTACAGTTTTCATGTTGAACAGAAGCCTTTACTACGCGGCCAAGTACACCTCAGTACTTCACTGCTTAGAACTTAAACGTTTGCATTACCCATTTTATCTCCGCCTGCTGCACTGTGCAGCCCAGTCTATCTTAGCGTTCCATACCTATTTCTACCTTTTCGTAGTTCAGTTTTTCTATTAGACAGTTAACTGCTGAGAAAACCGCACGTAACGCAGCGGTGATCAGTACAACAGACGTGACATTGTTATCGATTCGCGCGGCAGTGGGCTCCGTAAAATCAGTGAAACGCACCGGTCCTACGATGCACTGCAATACCCACTTCTCTTCCCTTACGGAGAAGATGGGTACCACGTTGGCATTCTACAAAATGGGCCCACCTTAAAAACAGTGTCTTGCAGGGCTTTCTACGCCTACCTATTGATGGTACATGAGGGTGCATTCAATCATCTTCATCGAAGCCGGCAACTTTTCCATCAATTCATAGTAGACATGGCTGCTAAGATGGAATCCGAAAGACTGTTACATCAGATTGAATCAGACCAAGTTGCGCTGCGTCTCTGACATTCACCTCCGTGATGCTTTACGAAATGACGCTGATCCACGCAATATAGGCAAGATGTGCATACTACCTGCAACGTTCGCAGGCAGTCCACGATACATGCACGCGAGGATGCAAGACGTGATGACATACGTTCGTAAGTACGGCCGACCAGGCCTATTCATAACTTTCACGTGTAACCCAAAATGGTACGCAATTGCTAAACAACTTATGCCAGGGCAATCAGCCTACGACCGTGCAGACTTCATTGTGCGTGTTTACCATCTGAAGTTGGGAAAGCTAATGGATGTCATTACAAAGGGCCAGGTTTTGGGGGCTGTTTGCTGTCGCATGCACACTATTGAGTGGCAGAAACGCGGCCTGGCTCACGCACATATACTAATTTGGCTGTGCGACAAGATTGAGGCCACAGAATTCGATCATCTTATTTCTGCTGAAATTTCTGATCCGTCGGCTGACCCTGAATTGTACGAAATAGTGACAACCAACATGATTTATAGTCCCTGCGGGTCGCCTTACAATTACACCAGCTGTCACAACAGCGACAGCAAATGCACCCGGCAGTACCCACGGGATTTCGTGAGCAAAATCATTACAGGGAGCGATGGTTATCCACTGTACCGACGAAGGAGTCCCGCTGCGGGAGGATTTACAGCCGTGGTAAAGGGCCACCATGTGGATAACAGATGGGTAGTGCCATACAGTCCCCTGCTAACAAAAGCGTTCAATGCGCACATCAATGTCGAATATTGCCATTCTGTTCGCTCCATCAAGTATGTATGCAAGTACATCAGCAAAGGGACTGATGCTGCAATGTTTGGTGTTAGGCAGGAAGGTTCCATAGACGAAATCCAGGACTTCCTTACAGGGCGCGTCATTAGCATCAGAGAGGGCCCTTGGCACATATTCAGCTTCCCCATCCACGCACGCTTCCTAGCAATCGTCCAGCTTCCTGTGCACCTAGAAAACGACGAACTTCGTTATTTTTCTGCGGATACAGCAATGGATGTGGCTGCGTGTACCAAAGACACAACGCTTACAGCGTTCTTCAAACTTTGTCGACAGGACGAGTTTGCTAGGTCTCTACTGTACCCAGACGTGCCTTCATACTACGTGTGGACAAAAAAGAACACCTGGGCCCGGTGGAAGTGCGGGGCTAACTTCGAAGGCTATCCAGGCGTAAAAAAAGACGCCACACTCGGAAGGGTATTCACGGTTCCCCCATCGCGACAGGAATGTTTTTACTTGCGACTCCTTTTGCACGAAGTTAGTGGTCCAACGAGCTACAATAACTTACGGACAGTTAATGGAGTTTTATGTGACACTTTTCGTGAGGCATGCCTCCGTCTATGCCTTTTGGAAGACGACAGCCAATGGGATGCCACAATGGCTTAGGGAGCTCTTTTAAAAATGCCCTCTGCTTTGCGCCACCTCTTCAACACATTCTTACAAATGTGCGAACCCAGTGATCCCAAATCACTTTGGGACAAATACAAGGACATTTTGTCCGAAGACATACTCAGAGAAACGCAACTGCTGTGTCCAATAATGGCTCTTACATTCAACGATGAAATTTACAACAAGGCACTTATAATCATTGAGAACCTGTTTGTTGAAATGGTGAGGAAATCTCTCGCCGCTATTGGGCTTCCAACGCCAGATCGTGTCGCTTCCTCCAGTCTCTCACCTGAGATTCTGCGGGAGACATCCTACTCTGTTGAGGAGCTCAACGCTTATGTCACAACAAATGAGCAAAAACTTCTCATAGACCAAAAGGCCACTTACTATACGGTTCTTGCATCCACCAGGCAGGATACTGGATCAATTTTCTTCATGGAAGCGCCTGGGGGAACGGGTAAAACGTTCGTAACAAAACTGCTTCGAAAACTGCCCCACAAAACGCCACTGTGACAACCCTTAATAGACAGCTTCTTGAAACTGTGCCAGGGGTGTTGCACGTTTACAAATCCATTGATAGATCTCCAGACCACGCTGAAATGGCGAAGTTTCCAGTGGAGTTCTTAAACAGCCTCCACCCCGCTGGTCTGCCTCCTCACATTCTGGAACTTAAAGCTGCTTAGAAACCTGCGTCCATGGGAAACTCTGTAATGGGACCAGGATGGTCATTCTGATGGACACCCAAACATTATTGAGGTCAAAATTATAACAGGCATTTACAGCATTACTTTGAAACATTGAACTCATCGCCAATTAATGTATAGTTACAAGCATTAATTGTCTCTCCTCACATCACCATACCATATGTACAGAAATGAATGACCCCGACCAGATTACGGCCCTTTCAAAAATGCGTGCGAGACTCCTTCGTGCAGCAAAAAATCGATAAAAAGCTCCGGTTCGACCCTGCCATCAGCTGTGAGTTTTTGACTTCTTTTTCACCCCAGGCTACAATTAACGTCAAATGTCGATTCAGCTTCCAAAATTTACGACGTCAATTCGTAACGGAGACAGATTTTCAATTTGGACTCAGGTTTTCAAAAAATTGGTACTCCGATATTTGGGCGGATTACATTCTAAAATTTCGGGCGTTCTTTACAATTCAACCAGAAATTCCTACGCGGCCCAGTTAGAGGTGCCTTGCATAGAATGCCGTGTGTCCCCGTCGTGACTCAAAAATCGCTACAAACCTCCGTGTTGACCATGCCCTCAACAGTCCATTTCCCACTTCTTTAAATTTGTTTTTTCTCCCAGGCCGCATCCCAGATCCGATTTTTCAATTTACGTCATTGTGTCATGCCGGAGTCCGATTTTTTTTATTTGGGACTCAAACTTTGTTAAAAAGGAAAGATTAACTCAAAGGTGATACGGATTTTGGGGTTTTTAAGTTGAATGTCTCGCCTGCACTACGCGGCCCAGTACATCTAAGCTTTTCACTTCATTTTGGACTCTGTGCAGTTGACTTCGCGTTGTTAAACACTTTTGAACTCTTTTTATTTGAAATTAAAATCGGATCAATGTATGGTTTCCAAAGTACCGGGTTAACAAAACAAGGACAACAACAACCCCGCCCAAATAGTATGACCAGTCTCAATATTTCAGGAAACTAGGTTGGGCGTGAAAAGACATTTGTTGTTAACATTCCTTTTTCATTCGGTTTTTCCAGTTACGAGTCCTTTTTTAAAGCTGATCGTTTTGTGTTCATTTTGTTTAGTTCCTTTTTCGTAACAGATTTAATGTTTAGTATAGAGCTTAGAAAAAATTCGCAGTGTGAGATAGGCAAGAAGTAAGGCATGTAGCAACATCAGCACGGCAAAGGGCATTCCTTTAAAGGCAAGGAAGGGCAAAAATATATTAAGTCAAGTGATAGCGATTGCTGTATGAGTCGTACGATTTTTTACTCAAGCACGGGCAACGCCGGGCCATGCTGCTAGTAATCGATAAGGCAGGTAGGTGTCTTGGAAAGGCGGTTGTATTAACGATTATTGTGCATAAAATCCAAACAAAATTCATTTGAGAAATATGTTATTACTGAGTGCTAAATTTATTACCTCACTTACACTTTGGTATTCAGATAATGAAGCGCTATTGGTCCCACCAAACCGAGTTTCGTTGTGTTTCCTTTCACACAAATGCTCTTAGAAAAACATGGATATGTCTCTTCTCCTTCCGTCTATAAAATAACAGGGTAGGCTGGGTTCTCTCGTCGAGTCTAGGGGTAAGAAAACTAGATTCAAAATGAGCCTGAAGTGTGATGGACACCTTCAGGTTATTTTGTCCACTTTTGCTTTAGTTATAGACCACTCCATATGAATTCATGGCAAATGGGTTACAAGACTTGTGACGTGATGTGATGTCATATAATATATCTGCTGGATACACATTAAATCTCGGAATAGAATATATTCAATCCAGAGCAAATACTCGTTTTTTAATTATGTTCATATTATATTCATTTATCGGATTGTTTATAGCGATTAAGGTGATTAATTATTATTATTTAAGTGATTAATATTTTAGAAACCTAACAACATTTCAAGAATTATTCTAGCCAAACAATTAATAATTGCACTCTTTATTTAAACTTCTTCCGAAATGAAATATGTAAGGTTTATATCAATTGCTTTGGTATTTTTAGAACAATAAATACTGGCATATAATTTTAATAAGAAACGAAATTCGACTTTTAAAAATTATTTTTCTTTAGTTTGTAAAATCTTTTCAAACAATGAATACTAAATTGGATCTAACATTAAACTATAACCTATTCTACAGATTCGAACCCTGATAAAAACCAGGATTTTTAATGCTAATTTTCTAAGACAAGCCCTTCCCACTTCTGGATTTATGTTGCATGATCTTTCTCTTAATATTTTCCATGATTTTGCCTTGTGCTTGTGAATAAAAAAAAACTCCTTTCCCCAAAAATATCTTGAAACAGAAAAGATGCACAGTCTTTGGCCTATTGTAATAAAGTGACGGGGTGGCGATTAAATGATAGGAAGAGATTTGAGTCTTCATTTATCAACATTCCATTCACTCCAATATTTCGTTAGGCCAGTGTTTTATTTTTCTTTATGAGATAGAAAGCAGGAATCAGCAGAGAATAGGAAGTGAAGCAAAAAGTGAATACGAAAGTTTTATAAATTAATCAATCGGGAAAACATATTTGAGTTCAAATCAATTTTATTTTGCTAATTATTCAGGAATAAGCTAATTAAAATGAACTTGATTTTTCTGGGGCGCGTATCCATTTCACATTTCAACAGTCTGAGGGTAGTAGTCTTCACAGAAGGCTGACAAAAATCCTGAAACATAAAGTTCAGATATACACAAACAAAAATAAAATTTACCAAACTGTCTTATATATTTAACATTCCATCGAATTCTCGTACTAAATTAAATACCACCCCACACAAACACACCCACACATAAATTTGGCCTCGTGCCAGACATAAAACTAACGCGTATGTCTCTATGAATTGGTACTGCAGGCATTCATATGAAATGCTTCCCTGTTTATAAAAATATTATAAAATCTATATACATGTAAATAATGATGCCAGCATATTTACAAAAGACACTTTCAGGCTCAATAT